ACTCAGGGACACAGAATTGTTACTCAGGGACAGACACAGAATTGTTACTCAGGGACACAGAATTGTTACTCAGGGACACAGAATTGTTACTGAGGGACACAGAATCGTTACTCAGGGACACAGAATCGTTACTCAGAGGGACACAGAATCGTTACTCAGGGACACAGAATTGTTACTCAGGGACACAGAATTGTTACTCAGGGACACAGAAATTGTTACTCAGGGACACAGAATTGTTACTCAGGGACACAGAATTGTTACTCAGGGACACAGAATCGTTACTCAGGGACACAGAATTGTTACTCAGGGACACAGAATTGTTACTCAGGGACAGACAGAATTGTTACTCAGGGACACAGAATTGTTACTCAGGGACACAGAATTGTTACTCAGGGACACAGAATCGTTACTCAGGGACACAGAATCGTTACCTCAGGGACACAGAATTGTTACTCAGGGACACAGAATCGTTACTCAGGGACACAGAATCGTTACTCAGGGACACAGAATTGTTACTCAGGGACACAGAATTGTTACTCAGGGACACAGAATCGTTACTCAGGGACACAGAATCGTTACTCAGGGACACAGAATCGTTACTCAGGGACACAGAAGAATTTACTCAGGGACACAGAATCGTTACTCAGGGACACAGAATCGTTACTGAGGGACACAGAATCGTTACTCAGGGACACAGAATCGTTACTCAGGGACACAGAATCGTTACTGAGGGACACAGAATCGTTACTCAGGGGACACAAATTGTTACTCAGGGACACAGAATTGTTACTCAGGGACACACAGAATCGTTACTCAGGGACACAGAATCGTTACTCAGGGACACAGAATCGGACACTCAGGGACACAGAATCGTTACTCAGGGACACAGAAATCATTACTGAGGGACACAGAATCGTTACTCAGGGACACAGAATTGTTACTCAGGGACACAGAATTGTTACTCAGGGACAGACACAGAATCGTTACTGAGGGACACAGAATCGTTACTCAGGGACACAGAACTGTTACTCAGGGACACAGAATTGTTACTCAGGGACACAGAATCGTTACTCAGGGACACAGAATCGTTACTCAGGGACACAGAATCGTTACTCAGGGACACAGAATCGTTACTCAGGGACACAGAATCGTTACTCAGGGACACAGAATCGTTACTCAGGGACACAGAATCGTTACTCAGGGACACAGAATCGTTACTCAGGGACACAGAATCGTTACTGTTACTCAGGGACACACAGAATCGTTACTCAGGGACACAGAATCGTTACTGAGGGACACAGAATTGTTACTCAGGGACACAGAATTGTTACTCAGGGACACAGAATTGTTACTCAGGGACACAGAATTGTTACTCAGGGACACAGAATCGTTACTGAGGGACACAGAATTGTTACTCAGGGACACAGAATTGTTACTCAGGGACACAGAATCGTTACTCAGGGACACAGAATTGTTACTCAGGGACACAGAATCGTTACTCAGGGACACAGAATCGTTGAATTAAAGAGTATGTCAGACAACACGCAGAGGAGTGGCAGAGGAGGCAATGTTTCAGGAGCGAGCAGACGTGGCAGCAGAGGAAGGGGTCGAGGCAGCACTAGTCGCAGCCAGAGGCCAGTGTTCCCGGTGTCATCCAGGTCGGTCGTGTCTCCACCGACAACCCTGCCGTCATCGAATTGGTTGGCTCGGTCGTCTTCCTCTTCCCAGGTCACCTCTGACACCTACAGCCAACGGTCGGGTGGGTACGTCAGACACAACCGTTAGTTGGCATGGCCCGGGAGCAAGCCCACTGAAATCACGTGTCCTCTACCTGCCCCTGTCCTTTGGTGTTCCCTCCCTCACCAAGCGAAGTATCGCATGCTGTGGGCTCAGCCCCACTGTACAGTGAGGAAGAGCTAACAGAGGGCGGTCAGGAACGGGGGGAGACATCCGCCTCTTCAGCAGCCAGGCGAAGAAGTACTGGCGAGGAGAGTGGCTCGGTAGCCGGTCTAGAGACAGGTCTGTCTCCTGACCCACACGCAGCCGAGGGGGCTAGTAGTGAGGCGGAGACCCTAATTGATGATGATGATGAGGCTGATCGCACTTGGCAGCCTCGTCGTCATCAGGCTATTGCTTCCGCATCATCAGGAGAAGAGAGGGTGCCAGCTTGGCAGCGAGCAAAACAGTCGGTGGGTTGCCCAGGAGGCAGCAGGGTCGCAGCAGTGTCAGTGGAGGCAAACGGCCACGGAGTAGAGCACCAGCTCCACTGCAGCCTACCACCACGGCCAGTAGTGGTGCCGGTGTGCACGGAGGAAGTAGCAGTCAGCCAGTGAGGAGTAGCGGGGGCAAAGTTTCCTACTCGGCGGGTGTGGCAATTTTTCGTCAAGCCGCCCGAGGAAGTAAACGTAGCCGTATGTCGACTATGTGGCCAGAAAGTCAAGCGTGGCCAGGGGGCCCATGTTGGGACTACAGCGTTGCGTCAGCATATGCAGCGTCGCCATTCGGTGGCCTGGGAAAACCGTGATAAAGATACGGCGGTTCTGCCTGCCCCAGCCCCCTCTCCATCACCCGCTCCGTTACTTGCTCCGTCACCCGACGTCAATCGCCCTCTATCAGCCAGTCAAGGCTCCAACACCTCTGCTGAGGGGAGTTGTCACTCGTTGGCATCTTCCGCTCGTTCAGATGCTCCTTCTCCTGCTACTCCTCTTCACGGATTCCGTCAGCAGTCTTTCTTGGAATCCGTTTCCAAGAGACAACAGTTTGCGAGCACGCACCCGACGGTGCAGAAGCTGAACGTCCTCCTGTCCAAGTTGCTGGTGCTGCAGTCCCTCCCTTTCCAAGTGGTGGACTCAGCACCTTTCCGAGAAATGATGGCTTGTGCCGCGCCGCGGTGGAGAGTGCCAAGCCGGCATTTCTTCGCCAAAAAGGCAGTGCCAGCCCTGCATTCACATGTAGAAGAGATGGTGGGCCAGTCTTTGAGCATGTCGGGTCTCTGCCAAAGTGCACGGCAGCGCCGACGTGTGGAGCTGTAACTACGGTCAGGGACAGTACATGTCATTTACGGCCCACTGGGTGAACGTGGTGCCGGCACAGCCGCACCAGCAACTTGGACAGGTCACGCCGCTTTTGCCTCCACGTTTGCACGTCCTTGGTCCAGCAAAGATGTCCGCCTCTACCACCTCTTCTTTCCGCCGTGTCCTCAGCCCACCCCCTCTGCCACCCCCGTGCCAAGTCCCATTACCCGACCGGCATATCACATGTGCAGGGCGCAACGGTGTCACGCTGTGCTGCACCTGGTATGCCTTGGCGAACGTAGTCACACAGGGGAGGAACTTCTGAGTGTAATGAACAGAGAAATCGACAGATGGCTGTCTCCGCGCAAACTGAAAATCGGAACCATGTTGACCGACAACGGAAAGAACATGGTGTCTGCTCTGCGTCAAGGAAGGTTGTGCCATGCGCCATGCATGGCTCACGTGTTCAATCTGGTTGTCAAGCGGTTCCTAAAATCCACCATCCCACTGCAAGACATCCTTAAAATGTCACGTAAACTTTGCATGCATTTCAGCCATTCCTACACCGCAAAGCACACCCCCTTGAGCTGCAGCGGCAGAACGGAATTCCACAGCATCGCCTGATCTGCGACGTTGCAACAAGGTGGAATTCAACCCTACATATGTTAGACCGCCTTTACGAACAGCGAAAGGCCATCACCGATTTCCTGATGTTACAAGCGGATAAAGGTACTCCCCTGTGTAACTTAGATGTCAGCCATTGGCAGCTCATGCGTGACACCTGCCGCTTGCTCAGGCCCCTTTGAGGAGGCCACGCTATTCGTGAGTCGGCAGGACTATGGGATGAACGACGTCATTCCTCTGTTGCACGTCCTGGAACAAATGCTGTTAACAATGGCTGGTCAGGGTGCGGTAGACGTGGCGCACAGATCTCAACGCCACATGACCCCTGTGGGGGCAGGACAGGAAGAAGAGGAGGAGGGTAGAGGAGGACATTGGTGCTCAGGAATTATTGAGTGAAATGGGTGGTTTTTCCACTCAGCGGACAGGAGTGGAGGAGCAGGAGCATCTGGTAGAGGAGGAGGAGGAGACAGAGGACCCAGACGCACCGTGGCAGTATGCTGTGGAGATGGAGGCAGGGAGTCCCTCGCATTCCTTGGCACAAATGGCCCATAGCATGCTCGGTTGCTTGCGTAGCGACAGCCGAATAATAACCATCAGACAGAGGGATGACTTTTGGCTGTCCACCTTGTTGGACCCTCGCTACCGTTCAAAAATGGTGGCCTTTTTCACACCTGCTGAGAGGGAGGCCAAAAATAACGTACTATAAAAAACCACCTATGTAGTCAGTTGGTCTCTGCCTTTCTGCGCCAACGTCCATCCTCAGACACTGTGGGCCCTGTGCGCTCGCGTTCCGCTGCCATGGCAGCAGGGGAGGGGTGGGGTGGTAGGAGCAGTGGCAGCTCTACCCAGCAGCGGCTGCCTCAGTCTGCAGTCGATGATGAGTAGCTTTCTTCACCAGCGCAGTGAGGAAACTACTAACCAGCCGCAGCAGCAGCAGCATCAGGTGGACCTGGAGCAGGACCTCAAACAACAGGCTCGGGCCTACTTGGACAGCACCCTGCCAACTGAGGTAGACAATCCCCTTGACTACTGGGCAACGAAACTTGACCTTTGGCCCCAACTAGCTGAATTTGCCCTTGAAAGGCTGTCATGCCCGGCCAGTAGCGTGGCATCGGAGCGCGTGTTTAGTGCGGCAGGAGGTATTGTAACTCCGCGGAGGACACGACTGTCCACCCAAAGTGTGGAGAGACTCACGTTTGTGAAAATGAATCAGGCGTGGATTAGTCTGGATTTCAAACCACCAGTTCCTGACACAACTGACTAAATCCGCCATGAATCATGCCCCAAACATGTTATTATTTTTAACATAGGCCTCTGTATGGCCTTCAATTTAAGCTGCTTACGCTTCGCCACTACTCTGCCATGGGCCCCTGTACCGCCTCCTCTTGCTGCTGCCAGGTCCAGAGTGTGTCATGGGTCCCTGTACGGCCTCCCATTGCTGCTGTCTCCATCGCCACACTCTGCCATGTGCCACTTTCAGGTCTCCTCACACTGCTGGTGGGTTCCATTTTGTCATAGGGTGTGCTGGCAGATTACGGGCCTCCCATTGCTGCTGCCAGGCCCGTAATCTGCCATGGGCCCCCGTACCGACTCCTCATGCTGCTGCCAGGCCCGTAATCTGTCATGGGCCCCTGTACCGCCTCCTCATGCTGCTGCCAGGTCCAGAGTGTGTCATGGGTCCCTGTACGGCCTCCCATTGCTGCTGCCAGGCCCCGTAATCTGCCATGGGCCCCCGTACCGACTCCTCATGCTGCTGCCAGGCCCGTAGTCTGTCATGGGCCCCTTTACCGCCTCCTCATGCTGCTGCCAGGTCCAGAGTGTGTCATGGGTCCCTGTACGGCTTCCCATTGCTGCTGTCTCCATCGCCACACTCTGCCATGTGCCACTTTCAGGTCTCCTCACACTGCTGGTGGGTTCCATTTTGTCATAGGGTGCTGTATGGCCTCCCATTGCTGCTGCCAGGCCCGTAATCTGCCATGGGCCCCCCATACCGACCGTACTCCTCATGCTGCTGCCAGGCCCGTAATCTGTCATGGGCCCCTGTACCGCTCCTCCTCATGCTGCTGCCAGGTCCAGAGTGTGTCATGGGTCCCTGTACGGCCTCCCATTGCTGCTGTCTCCATTGCCACACTCTGCCATGTGCCACTTTCAGGTCTCCTCACACTGCTGGTGGGTTCCATTTTGTCATAGGGTGCTGGCAGATTACGGGCCTCCCATTGCTGCTGCCAGGCCCGTAATCTGCCATGGGCCCCGTACCGACTCCTCATGCTGCTGCCAGGCCCGTAATCTGTCATGGGCCCCTGTACCGCCTCCTCATGCTGCTGCCAGGTCCAGAGTGTGTCATGGGTCCCTGTACGGCCTCCCATTGCTGCTGTCTCCATCGCCACACTCTGCCATGTGCCACTTTCAGGTCTCCTCACACTGCTGGTGGGTTCCATTTTTTCATAGGGTGCTGGCAGATTACGGGCCTCCCATTGCTGCTGCTGCAGGCCTGTAATCTGCCATGGGCCCCCGTAATACCGACTCCTCATGCTGCTGCCAGGCCCGTAATCTGTCATGGGCCCCTGTACCGCCTCCTCATGCTGCTGTGCCAGGCCAGGTCCAGAGTGTCCAGAGTGTGTCATGGGTCCCTGTACGGCCTCCCATTGCTGCTGTCTCCATCGCCACACTCTGCCATGTGCCACTTTCAGGTCTCCTCACACTGCTGGTGGGTTCCATTTTTTCATAGGGTGCTGTATGGCCTCCCATTGCTGCTGCCTCCACCGCCACACTGTGGCTCCACACTCTGGTTTTGGCCCCGTGACTGCCCAAATGAGTGAAGTGTGCGGTGATTCTAAGATCGACGGCACTCATCTGCATGTCATACTGACTGACAGTATTATTTCTCTTCCCCAGCAGACTCCAAGGGCATTTAAATTAAAGGTACAGTGTTCTGCACTAATATAAAGGCTCTCTGAAGCCTAGAAACACCCTTTTTATAAGTTAAATTCACAGCGAATATATTCGACTCGAATCAAATTTATTCCGCGAATTCGCCGAATCATCAGCCGAATCGAATTTTTGAATAATTCGCTCATCTCTAATTACCATGTGGATTTTGTTTATGGTATACCATTAATATCCAAAAAAAAAAAAACATTGTTCACCCATGGTTAAAATAAAAATGAGCAGCTCAAAACAAACATTTTAGTGTTACCATTCATTTACAAAATGTTGTACTTCACCAAAGAAATTCTTCAAAACTTGTCTTTCTAGAAAAACAAACACATCATAGTGAATACAGCTCAGAACATTTGCATATGAATAGGGTCATTTCCACTCACAGACCTGGCTATACAGGAGGGGGGGGGGGGCAGTTGTTGGTGGGCTGTCAGCAACTGAGACATTAGATTTTTGAAGCCTAAACAAATATTACATTCACCTTCAGACAAGACAACATAGATTCCATAAACACACTCTTACAATTTGTTATCTTAAAGACAAACTCTAGATACCACTAATACCAGCATGTCTTCTCCAATAACCTGGACTTTTTCTTTTTACTTCCATAAAATCCATTTTGGAAGTTTGAGATTCCTTTAATGATTCCTCCCTTTTCAGTTGCTTATTCTCAGCCTGTGTAGATGCATTCTCTACCTTCATCTGCTGGAATGGGACCCATGATCTCGGCCGTTCATACTTATTACACCTCGGCCAAGTACCAAAGCGTGCTGAATAAACTTCCACATCACGTCTCATTGTCCTGTATGGATTTTGTTTCACTACCTTTCCAGCAGAAGAGGATCGACAAAATCGTGCAATGTGGCCAAATAATCCACATGCATAACATTTGATCTTTTCTAAGGTGGTCCGGCATCTATTAACTAAAGGCTGTGTGTTTTAGACAGAGAATATTCAGTAACTGACACCTGATTAGCAACTATTTCTGGCTGCTTACAAGATGAAGGGGCAGCTATACAATCGCTCCCACCATCCAGAGATTTACAGATGTTCACACAGACACTAGGAGACGATGATTTTTCACTGAATTGACAAATACTTAAATCAGTCTTTTTATCATCTAATCTAACGGGAAAATGAGCAAGCTGCTTCTGGCAGTCCACAGAAAATTGATTCAATTCACTTTCTGCATTCTTCAATTTTTCTACTAACTGATCAATTTCCTCCTGTAATCTTTTGTTATCACTTGTTAGCTGTTGGTGGCTAGCATCAGAATTGGTTACAGAAATTTTTAAAACTACTCAGATTGCTTTTGGATACTTCAAGAGCTTCCTGTAGTGATTCGTTTTGCAACTTCAGATGCTCATATTCCTTAGCCATCCAACAGGCAGCAAAGATCAGTGGAGTCTTTCCCGCACGCTTACTATAACTTTTCCCGCTAGGTTTTGATTTTGTATCTTCTTCTAACTCCAGTCTGGCCTTTCCCTGACTAATTTCTCTGTTTTCCTCGTTCTGTTCCTGTTCCTCACAGTCTTTTGGCCTTACCCTTGTGGCTCTCCCTTTTCATCAACTGCTGATAACAGTCCATATCAGTTCTTAAGAATTCCACTGGCAAGGACTGGGTAACTGCATAAGGCCCCAGTCCTGAAGATTGCTCATTGTCCCCCTGTTCATCAATGCCACAATTCTGGGGTTTAGACTTTTGTGACTGTTCCTTCATACATCTACTTTCAAGTGTTGTTTGGAATGAGTTCTCATGTAATGATTCCATATTAAAAACATTCCCTGCCTCCCTACTCATTGACTCTAACAGCCATATACTCCAAGCATCTCTTTCATTTGGGCGTGTCATCTTTTTATGATGATCATACCAGAGGTCTTCCCAGGTCTTAGGTTTAAAAGTACCTCTTTTAGAATACTTCATTCCAGTCCAGCGCTCCCAATCATGTATATATTCTACCACCCAGGGTCCATATTTACCGATCATCTCTTCCCTTGGGGTCAGTTGGAAGGGTTTGCCACACTTAGACACCCTCCTTGAGTTGATGCTGTTACCCATCCTTACGGATACCGGACAATGGAATAATTCCCAACCTTAAGCGGTTGCCCCAACCTTAAGCGGTTGCCCCCAGAGGTAGCTAATCTCTGGCCAATGATTGGGTTGACAGGTTCTGCCCCTGTCACCGTTGCTGCTTTTCACTACTTGTAATATGGTCCTTCAAGCAGCCTAGGGATCACCCGAACTTGATAGTTCAATCCCTCCCCGTGGACGTTTCTGAAGTATTCTGACAGATTTTTTCCTAAATTGCTCCTATTATCCCAAGAAGGATTAGAGCAAACTTAAATAATCAAGATTTGAGTGCTTGGAGTGCATCAGGCAGTTAATTGAGGCACAGCTACTTGCAGTATGGTGTGTAGTAGTTACAATAGAGCTGGTTCTCACAGATCTAACTACACGCTTACAATCTACAGTTACTAAATTACAAAGAGGACAGATTCATACTCACACCCCGCTGCAATAGGTGCAACCCAGCAGTTATGATGTTTCCTCATACACTCTCAGTACAATTTTATTTCAATTATACTGTTCATAATCAGTCTCATCAAAATATTAGTAAAGACAAAAGGTAAAAATGACATTCGACAAAGCTTACTAGTCTAGGTATTTTAGACAGAAATGGAAGATAGGCATGAAAACAAAGATGTAAATAATTATCTATTCCACACAATAAGTAACATATACCTAAACATTCAGACTTCCTCACTAAAGGGGCACCATTTGTTTTGGCGGTTTTCCTACCCACACTTATTTACTTGGTTCTATACAGATTATAAATGTAATAAGTGATTATAACCCTTTGTCTATACCTGAATTTAGCCAATAGTGTTAATATTAAAAGATAACCACTGTGCAAAAAATAAACATCTAATTTATTTACAAAGCAAGGAAGCTTTCTATTAATCAAATACAACAAAAATATAATACAGAATGTTACCTATACAAAGACTACAAGAGAGAGATAGTTACAAGAAAAAAGACAGAGCAATGGTGATACATTACAGCGACCCTGAAGTTCTGAGGTCTGAGCTGTGGAAGGCACATGGCACAAAAGGGCAGGGCTCTTTTGTTTTTGTTGTTTTATACACTTTCCAAAAGACCATCCCTAAACCCACCCACCCAAGTAAATCACACCTCAAATGGGTGGGCTTCAGAGCAATGGTTAGTTTAAATAAAAGAAAGAACAGGAAATTCAAGTTGCCTTCCATCCCCCTCAGCTCCATTGAGTCTTTTGTAGTGTAATCCCCCAACAGTCAATAACCTTCATGAAGATGTAGGCCCAAAATTGCCATTACATTTGCATACACAGACTGATTTTACTGTTGTGGGTTTAGGAACACTTTAACTTATTGTGAAGACTTATGTATATAGAAAAATATTTATGGGCTTCAAATAGTAGGAGTCCTCCAAAGATTTTGTACATTTGTGAGTACTGTAATTGTTTTCATGTGCCATTACTCTTTGGCAGTGCTGGGGGATCTGTGTTTGGCTGAATAAATATTTACTTTATATCTTGTCCTTCATGTTTGGAAGCCAGAGAATGGAAAGACTGAAGAGAGCAGTGGCAAGACTGTCACATTAAAGAGTCTTAATAGTGGGCATACATGAGAGAGACATTTGAAGTGAACTAAAAAATGTTTTCTAATGTAAAAAAATGCATTCAACATGCATTTGATGTACATTCCCTGGGAACATTTATAAACCGCAATCAATGCAACAGTACAAAGTTACTAAGACTTTTAATTAAACTTTTAGACTGAAACAGTCTTGTTTTCCTTTACATATTTTATTGTAATAATGGGAATTTCTATAGGTTTTGTATATATTTAATGATATTATAATGTTTAGTACTAAATTAAAAAATTTAAGCCAGGTTAATAGAAAACCCCCACAAGTAGTACACTGTACTGCTAGGGTGACAGTATGTTAAAAAAACATAAATAACAATATAAAAAAAAATAAATAAAAAAGTAAAAAAAAAAAATTTAGAAAAATTATAATTTTTGGTTAGAAACTAACTTGGGTTATTTTTTTTTTTTTTTACTAAAAAGATAATTGAATAAATGTTGGCCAAGATTTATGAAAGATTATTTATTTGCAAAATTTTATAAGAAAAATACTTTTTTTCAAACTTTTTTCATTTATACAGCAAAAAAAATAAATATATATATATATATATATATATATATAAAAAATAAAAATAAATACCACCAAAGTAAAGTTTTATCTGTCTCAAAAAAAATGCTAAAAAATTAATATGGGTACAGTGTTGCATGACCGCACAATTGTCATTCAAAGTGTGATAGCACTGAAAGCTGAAAATTTGCCTGGGCAGGAAGGGGGTGAAACTGTCCGGACTTGAAGTGGTTAATGGAAAACCTGAGCAGACCTGAAGAATTGATTGCAGCTCAGCTAGCTACAGTAGAGCTATATACTAATGCAGGCCATAGACAGTTCGTTTATCGGCCGATTTTCCGTCCGAAAGAATAATCGGCCGATTTTCGCATTATTAGTGGGGCAATGGCATCCGCTGATTTTCGCGGTTCCTCCTCATTTCTTTTATCGGTCATGCTGGAAAATTTGCAAAAAACGGCCGCTTTTCGCAATTCATTGGTGGCAACAGAATGACCGATGTTTTGTTTTTCGGGCCGAAAAATTGGTCGATAAACGAATCGTCTATGGCCTGCATTAGTTTAGCCTGCCCAGGGCATGAGAGCTACATGTGGTAGAAATCAGATTAGAAAAGGAAAGGTCAATACTTTGAGTTAATCAAGTGCTCTACATGTGCATATGCTAGAACTTGTGTACAGTCAGAGAGTAGAGGGATTGCTCTCAGGGCTGCTGCTCCTTCACTGTCCAGTCAGAGGCTGGCATGAAACCAAGCCGCATAGCTTAACTGAAGAAAAATGCCAAGCTGGCTGTGTTGCCTAGCACGTCTGTGAAAATTTAATGACAAATAAACCCTCTGGCAGGTAAAACAGCTCCAATATGTGTGTTTCAACTGTGTATTTAGCTATTGGCCTGGAGTTCAGCTTTAAGGTGCTCAAAGTTGTGTCAGAGCAGATCTGCCTACTGTATATTTTACCACATCACATATGCTATAATCAGGGGCAGACTGACAACTCATGGGGCCCCGGGCAATAGGGGATCATGGGGCCCCCTGTGTCCTTGCCCAAACTCAAAAAAGCCTATGAAAAAGGTACCAGGGGCATCTCATGGGGCCCCCTACTGACCCTGGGCCCTCGAGCAGTGGCCGAGTTTCCAAATGGTCAGTCTGCCCCTGGCTATAATCTAACACAGTCTTTTTCAAGCAGGGTGCCCAGGCACCCTGGGGTGCCTTCAGGTTTCCTCAGGGGTTGCATTGGCAAAATGCCTAAAAATTGCCCAAAATTGTATACAAGCCAACGGGTGGAGATCAAGCCTGCCTTTTAGTTACACAGAGACACACATTTGTATTGGGCACCATCACAACCTTCTAGTAGCCGGTGTCCCAACAACCAATGACATCATTGGTTGATAAGGAGGACGTTGGGCACCTGCACAACATCCTTGTTTTCCCCTGCCGCTCTCTGTCAGCACTGGGGTCACATAAACTGAGCGAGGTAGAGAAAACAGAGAGAAACACTGGAGCACTAGTCAGTACCAGTGTGCAAAGGTGTATTTGCTTTGGAAGAATAAATCACCTCTAACGCTGAGTGCCCTGTGTGTGGATGTTGTTGTTACCAGGGGCAGACTGACAACTCATGGAATCCCCGGGCAATAGGGGATCATGGGGCCCCTGTGTCCTTGCCCAAACTCAAAAAAGCCTATGAAAAAGGTACCAGGGGCATCTCATGGGGCCCCCTACTGACCCGAGTTTCCAAATGGTCAGTCCGCCCCTGGTTGTTACATTATGTAAAACTATTAGTTTAGTTTTTTACATTTTAGAGTTGGGTGCCCCAAGATTGTGCATAATTTAAAAGGGTGCCATGACTGAAAAAAGGTTGAAAAAACACTGATCTAAGAAATGAACAACAGATTGTCTAACTCTTTCCATGCTGGGCTATCTGATCTGTACATTTCAGGTTGTGTGATCTGCACTTCCTTGGACTGTCTTATTTTCCCATCGAGGACTGTCTGATCTTCACCTCCAGTACAAATCAAGGGCCTCAGAGAAGATAATCCAATTTGATGAATTGCCAGTGGATAAAAGTCGCTCTTGCTGTGATGTGAAAAGGTGCTGATGGCAGCCACACTGTGAATTCATATTACTTTGACGCCCACGCTGGGTGCTGACAATGGTTCTTTCACGGCTAAGAGTGGCTGCATTTACTAAAAATTGCATCATTATACACAGGCTCAACAGTTTCCCATTTATGAGCATGCAATTTATACTTTTATTCTATAAAGTTTAAGGCTGCTTACCACGGCAGTACAAGAAGCAATGACACCTTACATCCCACAGCAACCAATCGGATATCACTTAAACAGGTTAATTTCAGGAAGATAATTTAGGACAAAATCTTACTGGCTTCTGTGGTTGCCTGCATTCCATTACTTTCATTTTCAAGTGGGTCATCTTTAATTATGTACAGATATTATACCACGGAGCTAACCCTAGATGGGTAAAACCATTCATGCATGGGAGGGGGGATTTACTAAATCTGGAGCAGATAGTATCTGGAGCAGCTGTGCATAGTAACCAAGCTTGTTCAGTAACAGCAAAGCTCCAGGCTCCCCCCCCAAAAATTAAAAGTCAGCAGCTACAAATTCTGTAATTAATTAATTGAAGGTGCTTATATAGCTGTGTCAATTTACGCAGCACTTTACATATATATAGTACATTGACATCAGTCCCTAATGCTCAAGAAGCGTACTATCTAAGGTCCCTAACTTACATTCATACATACACATACTAGGGACAATTTAGAGAGGAGCCAATTAACCTACCAGCATGTCTTTGGAGTGTGGGAGGAAACTGGAGTACCCGGAGGAAACCCCACACAGGCACAGGGAGAACATGCAAATTCCAGGCAGGTGGTGCTGTGGTTGGGATTTGAGCCAAGGGCCCTAGTACTGCCAGGCAGAAATGCTAACCATTTAGCCACTGTGCTGCCTTACTTACTGTACCTGTCCAGGGATCCAGCAATGTCCTCAATCAGCCTCGGGTGCAGGTGCTGGCATCTTAAGTAAGGAAAACCAGCAGTGAAGCCTCTGGTTTCCTACTGTGCACACATGAAGTGCTCTGTGCTTTGTGAATGGTCTCGCAGGTCCCATAAGGCTGTGGGAGAAGGAGCGGGGGGGAGGGGGGCAAACGTTCGACTCAGATAGCAATCTAACTTGGAAGTGGGAGCGGGTAAGGCCTCTTTCACACAGGCATTCTGTATGTTCGTTTTTCATCTGTCCGATTACGGATGAAAAACGGACACCCATATATTTCTATGGACTAGAGGATGTAAACGGATCATCATCCGTTTACATCCGTTAATGTCCGCGTCCGTTAACATCCCTTTTTTGGAACGGAAGAAAACCCTATTTTTCTTCTGTAAAAAAACCTGAAACTGACAAAAAATGGATGTAAACGGATGAAAACCAATGTAAACGGATGAAAAGAATGTAAACGGATGAAAAAGGATGAAAAAAACTGATGTAAACTGATGAAAAATGGATGTAAACTGATCTGTTTTTTCTGTGAAAAAACATGACTGAACTGATAAAAAACGGAATGCCCGTGTGAAAGGACCTAACTGTCAAAACCAATTTCATCTTCTGTGGTAACATAGATACACAGAATATAACTGGATACTAACATTTATAGGTAAAGTTGATCCAGGGAATATCCAATTGCCTCTCGGGGGATCAGGAAGGATTTTTTCTTCCCAGCAGGAGCAAATTAGATCATGCTTTGCTGGGGTTTTTTTTTCCTATGATTGAACTGAATGGACTTTTGTCTTTTTTCAGCCAGTCTAACATAAAAAAGCTCTGAAATCCAGGTTTGAAATGAATCTGCTACTCTGCCCTGCATGAACAAAGCCCAGGCTCAGGTGAAGGCTGAATTGTCACTTCTACATTTTAATGTTGAGAGGATGCTGTATATGAAGAAATCCTGCTTGCTGTGTCTTTGGTGCAGTTCTGTAGGAATGAATAGCAACTCTTGTAAAACCAGATTACAACACTCCTAAAATAGGTCCAAAACACATCATGCTGAAACTGCTCAGTTTGAAATATGTAGCGGTATGAATGTAGCCTTACATCCATTTTCAGAGATCATGACTAAACTAAAAGGACAAGGTTTAAAATATACACAGAGTTTCTACAAATTGCAAACGTGTATCGAGAAGCCTTTAAAACGTGCAAATGCAAGTCGGTTTCCTCTTTATTATCACATTCATTATGAATGCATTTTGTCTCAATGAGCCCTCAAGCAACAGTCAAAAACAGTATTGCAGTGTGGCACTGTCACAAATCATATATCCACTTAAAGCTCTTTTTGCTGTACTTCTCCTGTGTATCGCAGGGGTGCACTTCGTTCTGCACTCCTGTGATCCGTTTTCAGCTGACAATGGCCTGAAGCCCTCTATCTGCAAAGTCATTCAGCCAGTCCATGCTGGGGAAAGATCCCGACTTCAAATTTCGGATCCACCTCAATGTCTGGAGAAGCACCGAGCTAAGCTGGACATGCGGGGCACAACTGGCTGAAGAGGTACCACATCCAAATACATAAGTACAGACAAAAAAGAAAAAGGAAAGGATCTTTTAGGTGTCACAAATAACTCCGGAGAGAGTGAGTACTACACTTGATACAGTTAAAAAAATACATTTTTTATTGACAACATGATTCATTAAAAATTATAGAATGACTTCAAATTCAGGATCCACCCCAGAGTCTGGAGTGGCAGCTGGCTCCATTTCTCAGTGAGCCTTTAAGAGCCTAAGCGAGCCGCTCCCTCCCCCTCCACAGCCCAGCGCTCAAGTGAGCATGGGGGAAGCAGAGCAGAGAGCGGTGACTGACAGTCACTGCTCTCGGCTCAGAGTGGCAGTGAGAACTCAGCAATCAGTGGTCATGTGATCACTCAGTTCTCACCCTTGGAGCTGGTGGGGGACAGATACAGCATCGGATCGATGCTGCATCCTATTAGGTAAGTATATATGGGGGGAAAAAAGCCTTACTTCTCTTTTAACGACTTCCCGCCCGGACTATAGTAAAATGACGGCCGGGCGAGCCTCTCGTCCCTCCGGCAGGGCGTCATATGACGTCCTTCGCGGATTACGCCTTGCGCGTGCCTGCAGGGCCGTGCTGTAGTGAGATCTGTCACCGGCTGTGTACCTTGGACATGGCCGATGACAATACCATGTGAGCTGCTGTAACCAATCATAGCAGATCACATGACAGTTGTAAACAAAGGATGGCTTCCTTTCATGCCATCCATTGTATACAAGCGTGTCTAGCTGTGAATGGTCACAGTGATCACATGCACAGGCTGGGCAAATCACAACCCATCTGTGCCATGTGATTAGCCATGGCCAAACACAGCTAATGCCAACAAAAAAACCTGAATGAATTGATTTCATTCAGTTAAATGCTTGCTTATAAAGCCGCTTCAGAGGAGCAGTCTGGCAGCAAGGATGAAGCCTACATGAGCAAAGAATTAGGGAAGTACTACAGCTTACTCCTTTATCCTTAGACCTTAAACTTTTGCTGTGCAGAGGAGGGGTTCATTTTTACTTTAGTTTTTACTGCAGCCCGGAGTAGGGCTTTAAATCAATGTCTTTTCTGGGGAGGTTGGGGAATCCTCAGACAGTTGAAGCGGTACTAGCATTTCTGTTCTGCTCTATATCAAGCACATTGTAGCCTAGGAGGGAATGTAGGCTTCAGAGCTGAAATGATAAATGATTCTTATAAGATAGAACACAATAGCTTATCTACAGCAATTTCAACTTTAGTTTTTTTTCACACTGAATGACCACCTGGTAGTGTGCAAGAGATAAAGTAACCAAGGAAAGTAAAACCCCCCTGCATGTAATAAAGAATCAGAAATTGTTTTAAATGTAGTTATTTATGTTACTCGTTTATATAGCACCAGTATTCTTTATTCTACTGAATGCACTTCTGAAGGAACCTACAGTCTGATGCTTTATTCCAACCACAGCCATAGAGGTGTGAGGACCAGCAGGGGTAGACCTCAATTGTTGGACATCTAACTTTTAAGTTGAGTCATTATTAAAATTCACACTTCCTATTTTAATGATAAGGAACAGGACTATATTAATACATTGCAATACGATTCTGATTTAAAAATACCTCTTCCGAAATAAAAAAAATGGTTACCAGGAGTCTTCAGT